GTGGCCTGAAGATAACTGAAACTCAGATAAACCTTAATTTTTAGCAGTCCTTGAATGCTTTACTTGAAGGTTACAAGGATGTATTTGGAGAGCCAAAATCCCTACCTCCTTCTAGAAACTGTGACCACCAGATTCCCTTAATACCAAATGTCAAACCTTTCAAATTAGCACCCTACAGATACCCTTATAATCAGAAAAATGAAATAGAAAAGCAAATGAAAGAAATGCTCAGTAGTGGCGTTATTTAGCTTAGTCATAGCCTTTTTGCCCCTCCAGTTCTGTTAGTGAAAACGAAAGATGGAACTTGGAGGTTTTGTATTGATTATAGACAACTAAATAACCTGACCATCAAAGATAAATTTTCAATACCTATCATTGATGATTTAATAGATGAACTGTATGGAGCCAAGTTCTTTTCCAAGATTGATCTAAGAGCTAGCTACCATCAAATCAGAATGTATCTTGCTGACATTCCAAAAACTTCCTTCAAGACCCACTTTGGACTGTATGAGTTCACTGTCATGCCCTTTGGCTTACCAATGCACCTGTAACCTTCCAATGACTTATGAACCATGTATTTGAACCTTACTTGAGGAAGTTTGTGCTAGTTTTTTTTATGACATTCTTGTATACAGTTCAGATCCAGACACTCACATTCTTCACCTCAGAATTGTCCTAGAAACACTCAAATCTCACTCCCTATTTGCCAAGCATTCCAAATGCATCTTTGGACAGTCCCAAGTAGAGTATTTGGGACATCTTATCAGTGGAGATGGAGTATAGGCAGATTCCTCTAAGGTTAGGAGTATGATGGAATGGCCTACACCTAAATCAATAAAGGCACTAAGAGGATTCCTGGGGCTTACAGGATACTATAGGAGGTTTGTGAAGAGGTATGGACTCATTGCCAAGCCACTTACTGAGTTGCTGAAGAAGGATAATTTTTGCTGGAGTGAACAAACTGAAATAGCCTTTCAGAAACTTAAGCAACTGATGAGTAGCACACCAATTCTAGCACTTCCCAATTTTTCAATTCCCTTTGTTTTGGAAATAGACGCCAGCCACAAGGCTATAGGTGTAGTTTTGATGCAGCAAGGGAGACCTATTGCTTTTCTGAGTCAAGCTCTGATACTACTTGTAGTGATCTGATCAGTAGAAGAATTGAAGAGGAAGGATAACAGAAGAAGAAGAAGAAGAATAGAGAGAAGGAAACGTGGGGAAGAAGAAAGAGAGAGAAATTGAAGGAGAAGAAGAAATCTGTAAGTTGTTGTATCTGTTATTGCATGCCTTCATCATTCCATTTGCAGGCTTTTTATATAAGTTTCTTTTTGGATCCTTCTATGCTCAACTAACTACACAACAGAATAGCCACATATAACAAGCTAGTAACTAACTTGCTAACTGATTATATGAAAAGAAAGCCACATCAGCAACACTAACCTTCATGCTTCTGATGAGCCATATCTAGGATCATAACACATTTGTTAGCTACAATTGGTTCACCGTCATAATCATCACTTTGCTATGTCCACCCTCTGCTGTCATACTAATAGTTTCACGATTCCTAAAAATCATCTTAGTTTTTCTACATATTTGAGCCCACACAATAATATAACTTTGTCTAGTTCACTAACAAATTCTTACAAAATTCCTGCTGTTTCGTCCTATAATACTTCAAAATTTTCACGACGGAGTTTAGTGACTTACAGAGGTTACAAATACAAGAATTTTTGATATCCCTCTTGACTTCTCGTTGGCTCACTTGAACTTTGCAAGTTAAATAATTTTGTAGATGTGTAAGATGTTTTGAATTTGTCAAACGCATTTCAAAGCAAATTGCTTGTGCTGCTGTAAGACCCAGTGGAACTGGTAGCTAGTAGAAATGAGCTATCTATCAATTGTTGGAATGCATTTTGAATTTGTTGAACGCTTTTTCAATTGTTGGAATGGATGATATGAGATGAATATTCTTGAGTAACACTCAGCAAGAGAGAGGGGTGGGAGAGGAATGCTGGTGAAGGGGTCGTGAAGGGTAAGGGTGTTGAGGAAAGGGGGGAATGGTGTGGGTTAATGGAAAAGGAGGTGACTGAGGAAAGTAGCTAATAGAGAGAGGAGGGGAAGAAAGAAGAGGCGGCGGTGTCAGTGGCAAGGAGGGGTGAGGTAGGGGAGGGTTACGAAATTGATTAAAAAATTTTAAAGTAACTTTAAAAAGTTTTAAATTTTAAAAATATTCAAAATACTAATGATTTTTTTTAATTTACTCATTTTGATTACAATTCATACCTGAAGTTCTTGAAATACCTTTTTTTAACCGTTAAATTAGAAATCCGATTGCGTTTAGGTGGTGGATTTAAATATTAAATTTAAGGAGCAAATTGATGAGGTCTAGAAAGCGCTCCCACAGCTTCCTAGCAACCTTGGAGACTGAATTAGACAAAAAGAGAAAAGCTCCGTACCAGGAGGTGAGACTAACAGAGCGAAGCCCTCGCTCGCGTCATGGAAACTAGGGAATTTTCTGGTGTTCAGTAAGGAGCGAAACTAATGATCAGTATACAAAAGAATGGTATTCATAAGATAAGAGATACAAAATTGATCAGAAATAAAAGTTAAGAACCAAATCGATTTTGATAAGAAGTTTGGACACGAAATTTGCCATTTTCCTGAACTTTAAAAACGTCTACAATCTAGGAGTTGTTACTCTCATGCATAAAATCTTGCAAAATCTGATCCCTAGCTTCCCTAAGAGGGACCATTGAAACTTGTTTCAAATCAGTACTTAGAGCTGCAACAACATACATATAACTACTTCTAATGCAACTCTAATTTTGTTGAAAAATCCCAACTTTGAAGCCATCATGTCCTAGTGCTTTGCTATCCTTTATATTTCAAACACAAAATCCTTCACTCCCTCATGAGTTTCCTTACCTTCAAAGCTGGACTTTCTGCAGAAGTGACTTAGAAATCACCTCCTGTGCTTGCCTTCGATCATTAATGACGATAGGCCTGAATATGCATCCAGTTGCCATTGAGGACACATTATTATCATTTGGTCGACTGCACAAAAGCGTGAATCTTTCTTGAATCATTCCACAGCTTTCGTTCACCTTTACTGTATAGTATCATCTAGGGAAAGAAAGGAAAAGACCATTCATTCAAATTACCAAGAACGATTGAACGAGTATTAGATCCTAGAGGAGCTTGCTTTGCAAAACGGAGATTCATTTTAACATTTTTTGTTTTGCAGACTAGATTGATTCTAAATTTTATCAGTGTAACAGGGTTGTAGATTGTCTTGCATTAGATGAATTGCATAGTTTTTCATGATGGTACGGGATCTCATTCATATTGTAGAGGACGATAGAACTGGAAAAATATGCCTTCATTAATCAACCTCTGTTGTACTTTCTGAGTACAATTGACCACAAGACATTAAAACGATATTCACCATTCTCATGGGCTAATTTGCGTCTTTATATGTCAATTGAGTGTACAGTATAAAGTATAAGAACAACATTACCTCACAAAAGAAACGCCGCTCGCATAACACGGAAAATGCTTTGCTTTTCCAAGTACGATCCATGTTTGGAATTGGCATATGGTGTGCTACTACTATAATCCAGTTAGTGCCTGTCTTTTTTCTTCCCCAATCTTGAAGGATAACTCTCCAGATATTTTGTACGTACTGCTTCTAGCAAGATCGTTCAAAACGTTTCACATATTTCATTAAATGAATTTTTTATCGTTCACTTTGTAAAGTCAAGTTAGCTAAATTTGGTCTCTCAATAATTTTCTCATTATTTTTTAGTTTGAATCAATCATGTGACTCATATTTAGTCAATTTTAGGTGTAAAAAGGTTACATTCCATTTTTAGGGAAAAAATGAATGTGGATGGGATAATTTGTTTAATACTTTAATTACATTTAGGGGGAAAACATGAATGTGTATATGATTTTAACTATAAACAGAATCTAACTTTTTTGAGCTTAAAAAAATGACCACGTGTGGTTTATGTGGTATATTCAGATTAAAAAATGGTCGCAAACCTAAATTGGAATCAAATTTGATTTACTTGATTTTATAAGGGTAATAAAGTCAACATTTTATAAGTGAGAAATAAAAAAATTTATTTTGACAAAATATAAGGGACGTTTTAAATAATTTTTTCATTATGTTTTCTCCGAAAAAGAGTACTAGCGGTTGCTTATTACAAATATTTATTTCACTACAGTTTTCATAAAAGTGCTTTGTTTTTGTCTAATAAAAATGTTTAATCCTCTCATTTAGAAGCACATTTAAATAAGTACCTTTTGTGTTTGATGACGCATGGTTTTTGAATCTTCTAAATGTATGTATGCCCTTAATTTAGTTCAAAATTCATGACAAAAGGTCAACCTCTCTATTCTCAGATTTCTATATTGAAAAAAGCTACTATCTCCAAAGAATGCTAGGTAATTTTTAACTCTAAAAGCTTTTTAAACCAAAAATCCAATTTCTATATTTATCAAACACTCTTTGTTTTTTTTTTTCCCTTTTTTACTTTTATATTTTGAAATCACCCTTTTGGCAAAGAAGAGTAATCTTGAAGACCTTAGAAGTACTTATTATTGATTTGGAGATTTGTTGTATTATTCAAATGACCTTAGTATATGTACTTCCTTTCCTTCCTTTTTCTAATGAAACAAAGAAATCATATAGTAGTATTCCAAATCTTGTACTAAGTACACATTAAAGTAGTTTTAAAAAAAAAAAATCAAAAAGGAAAAGTTGGGAGTGGGGTTGCCCTAAAATTCAATAGGGGATAAGGAATAGCCTAACCACCTAAGGTCGGTCCTTCTTGTCACCTGAGAAAGCATATGTACTGCAAATAGTAAATTTCTAACATTAGACATCGGTTGGATTTGTTTTATTTAAATCTGGAAATATTTTTTTTCCAATTTTCATTCATTCAAACAATATATAATAGTTTGACAAAAAAAAAAAAAAACAATATATAATAAAACACTTCAATTTTAACGCCAACCTCTCTCTCTTTCTCTCACACATTTTCTCTCTCCCTTTCTCTTTCTTAGTTTTATCTCTCTCCTCTCTCCTCTTTCTTCTCTCTCTCCTGTCTCCTCTCTCTCTTTCTCTTTCTCTTTCTCTTTCTCTCTCCTCTCTCCTCTCTCTCCAGAAGGGAAAATAAACCCTAACTAAAAGAGCTGTTTACCCACAAGTAAGTTCTCTCTCTGTCTCTCTCTCTTTCTCCCTTTCTTTCCCTCTCTGTGGATATAAAAATCTGAACTTTTTCATTTCTGTCTAAATATTTGAACTTCAATTTTGCCCTAAATTTTGTTTGCATGTTTATTGTACTTTGAACGATTTTTAGCTGCTGATTTGATTCCAATTATGGATCGGTTGTTTTTGCCTCTTTTAGGTCAGATCTGTATGGAAAAAATTAAAGATTTGAACTTTGTAGTGGAATCTTCATATCATGAGAAGTCCTTCGATGGGATTTCGTATTTCGATGATTTCTTATCTGGGTTTTTGTTTTTTTTTGGATTTTTATGAGATGGGTTTCGCAGATCTTCTCGTTTTTGTGTTTGATTTGTGTAGGTCACCTTCTTGGGTGTTGTGAAACTAAATTGCTTCATTTTAAAGCTTTGTTGTGGCAATTAAGCTGAAAACCTTTTTTGCTTTAGGGGGGAATCTGGTGAGATTTATGGAATATTGTTGTGGAAATTCCAATGCCATTAATGGGTATCTATCTGTTTCTTACAGAATCAACAAACTTGAATTCCAAATCATATTTTTGTTTAAAATGTGGTTTAACTTTCTTTTGTTGTCTGTTGTTTTGTTTAGAATAGTTCCTAAGATTCAATTGATAGTGATCTGCTCAGGGGCTGTTATTGCATGACATTTGTTAGATCTGCCTGTTTTCCTGGTTTTATGCTTGTTTATCTTTGATTTTCTTAGTTGTCGTTTGATTCTTCTATAGCATTGGGGGCAGAGATGCCCATCTTGGGAAATTGAGATCATGGCGAGAAGCTAATGTGTCTAGTGATGTCTGTTGTGATCTGTAGTTTTGATGGATGACGACGGATTGAACATGAGGAACTGGGGTTATTATGAACCTTCTTCCCTTAAAGGGAATCTTGCTCTGCAGCTTATGTCATCTGTGGCGGATCGGGACACGAAACCTTTCCTTTCTGGGCGTGATAGTGGTGTGATGGGAGCTGCCAATGGAGTGTATCATCCCCGGGATTATTTAATTTCAGGAGCTCCTGATCACATGGACTATGTGAGGGACAGTTGGATAAACCATCGAGACAAATTCGTTCACATGTTTCCGGGGAATCCATACAATACTGTGCTTCCAGAGACTTCTGGAACTCATCAAATGCAGATGCTGCAACAACCTGAACCTAGCAAGGATGCCAGGGTGAGTGTGGAGGATGTTGGTGTCAGAAAGGAGCCTGGTCCTGCAAAAAAGAGGGCAGCTGTTTCTGCCCCAAAGGCCCCTAAATCAAAGAAGCCAAAGAAAAACCCTGCTGTGCCAAAGGAACCAACAAGTTTGTAACAATCAGGTAGACCTGCACAGTGGGTACAATTCGTGGACTGCCACTGCACCCGGTCTGTTTCTCCTGTATATATATCTGTGGCCTTCTGCAAAGGTTAATTTGGCATCCTGTAGTCCATCAATTTTACTGTAATGAGGACATCTGTCTTCAACTTCCAGATATGATTCTCAAGAGGCGTTGTTTAATTTCCTTTCTGTTGGTGTCAATGGCTAGCAAGTTATCTGGCCACTGAGTGTAGGAATGTCAATGACTTTTCCTTTAATTAATTGGAGAATTTTTTTAATTTTAAGTATGTATTAATGATCTTTCCTTCCTTTCTCTTAGTATTTATCTTGTATGCGTCATCCTCCGACTAAATAGATGCCTGCATATTGTATCATAGTAGGAATTGCTAAGTTTCAATCATAGTTGACCTATTGGACGTGCCCTAGCATTGCTTTTTACTGATTCTTAATAATTGAGTTTTTTTAAGATATGTAGTTCACCAATTTGCATGACTTAGTATATTTGCTGAATTATCTAAGTAATTTATTATTCGGACTGTGTATGCTCATTCAGCTGTTATCTGGTCCACAAACATATGCTTGAATTAATGCTGTGTATTTTTGGGTCGTGCATGATGACCTCTTAGATGTTTTTGCTTGCATTTTGTCCTCTCTGCTACTATTTGCACTAGCCCTGATCCATTTGGTCAAAGCGTGACGGAAAAAGAACAGATGATACAAGTTCCTCAATTTTGAGATCTTAATCTTTTGGCTACTCTAGTTCTTTTCATTTCTAATGAGTTGCTACAATTCAAGCCAACCACAAATGCAATATGATTACTCGAAAGGTCCTGATTCAGTTAAATATTTTGAATATCTCCTGCTGCTGGTGTTTGAATGAGTAAATCTAAAAATGTTAGGTTGATAGCTTGGGAGAATTTGATAAAAGTTGCACTCTTTTTGACCAATTAGATCATTTTGAATCTTTCTTGCAGCGCTGAGAGCTGAGAAGATTGTTGTTTCTAAGATAAGATGTCAAATGCCAAGTAACTCTTGGGTCAATTATGTGAATAGGATGTATGGTTGTTTTTTCTTCATTTAACTAGAATAGCAGATTTTGGTAAATCTACTAGTTCTTTGACTGTTTTTTGGGTCAAGTGGTCCATCAACTTTAGTCTTGTTTGGATTGATTGTGAACAAATTGTTACAAAGAAGAGCATTTGTTAATTGTGGCTGCTCTTTCTTTTTGTCGAACTCTTGATTGATGTAGTCAAGACCGGCCAGAGTAGTTTGGTTTCAGTAACTGTGAAATAGGTCGGATTTGCCTTGTATGTGTTGACCTGAAATCCGAAACGCTAGTGAAACAATCTGTCAAACCTGTGTCGGGGTAATTGAGAATCAGGACTTGGATTGATTAGGAAAATCTGAAGAGTTGAGTCTGGATGCTTTTGTTACATTGGTTTAATGAATCTTTAGGTTAGAATAGTATGTTATTCATGTATATAAGAAATTTTACATGATAGCAATGTCAGTCTCACCACCCTGGTTCAGATTTCTCAAATTTGTGGAAAATGCCAACTGAGAATATATTCCTGGTTTAAGAACGGTGATTCCCGCATCATTAATGCTTTGAGTGTTGGAAGTTCTTTTTGACTAGCTACTTAAGAGATTCTTAGATATTTGCCTTTAAGTGACCTCCTGCAGCTTACCTTCTTGGTTCCAAGTTAATTTTCTTCGTTGAGGATTAAACTCAAGGATTTCGACTGACCTTTACATCTAAATATTGCCAGCTTTCCAGACTTATACACGAATACTTTTGTAAGTTTGAGCACATTGGTTGATGACAAACATCAAGATTATTATGATAAGACTGGAGTTTTAGCAGATTTTTGTTTAGTTATGTTTCAAATCTTACTCTGAAGGTTAGACGTATCATCTATGTTATCAATATTTATTGCCTTCTTTCATCACAAGTGTGAAGCCTCTCTGGCTTTCCTTCACCTGTAGCTTACGTGCATGTACTTTTTTGACGCTGGTAATTAGCGTTCTGGATTTTCTACCATGTGGTTATGACATACAGCTATCTTTTAAGGGTAATTTCACAAGGATCTTATGCTTGGCAAGTTCTCTTGAGACCTTATTTTCTTGACAAGTTTATATAGTCATTTCTTATGTTGTTACTTTCTTGACAAATTTCCACCCTTTCTGAATGTGTGCTTGTGTGAGCTTTTGCATTGGACTGAATGTTGATGGAGTATTCTAAATTTAACCTATTGTGCCTGTGTACTGGAAGACTTCTATGACCACATCATATGGCTTGTGTGTATCTGTTGATTGATTTGTTGTGTCAAAATTGTAGCCTGTCTTGCTGGAACATTTTTGTACTGTCCAAGTAAATGACTTGATGAAGGTGCATCATTTTTTTTCCCTAGGGTTGATGCAAATTGTCTGTTTCTTAAGTTTGCTGTTCACTGAAACGATTTTCGTTTCTCATCCCCTGAGGAGTTTTGGAAGGAAGGAAGGGGGCTTTCTGGATTTTGGTGGAGGGTTGGGGAGTGCGATAATGTTTGCATTGAGTTTTTGGATAGTGATAAATGGAGAAAAGTGTCCTAAAATTGCTATGCTGCTATTTTCCTTGAAGCTTGCATCATTATAAGCTCTAGCTTAAGTGATTCTTTTGGTCGTATTCTTCCTTTGTTTGCTTGATGATTTAGCATTCTCAGTGGAAGTGGAAGAGGTATCTGAAGCTCTAGTTGGCTTCAGTCCCCAAGGCAGTGAAATTCCCTTGCCTTGAAAAGGGTGGAATTGTATTCTCATTCCTTCCCTTTGCAGCCTTTTGAACGCTAACGTGCAAAGGGGGCATCTGATTCCTCTACGGATAAGATCAGTCATTTTCTTGAATTACTTTTCTTTCTAGTCCCCTGGATTAGTGTTGATCTTCTTCCACGAGTGAATCATAAAAGCGAATAGAATATAAGCCTTAGTTGGTCCTGCTCCTACAGTTTGCAATATGTTAACCCTTGAAGAAATTTCACTACTCTGATAATACGATTCAGAAGAGATGAAAAAGCACTGCAGAAACTGTGAATGGTTGAGTCCTGAGAACCGTGTAGCCAACATCTTAATAAATAAAAAGCAATGCAGAAACTGAGTGGCTATGAGTTTTTGAGAATTGTGGCTTTGTGATGCCAAATGGGACTATATTTTTGGCTTATAAAAGAAAGAAAAAGAAAAAGGACTTGATTTTGGGATTATAAGGTTGGAACATTTAGGCCTTGTTTGGATTATCATTTTCCATCCAAAAATTTTTGTAATATTATAAACATATTTGTCAATTAACATTTTATCTCACATATATTAAATTACTACAGTATATTTTTCTATAAAATCTCCAGAAAATAACAATCCAAATGGGCTCTTACGTTTCACTATGCATATGCAAATTGGAGACTCAGAGTTACACTGATATTTGTTTAGGATACACAGACCGGAACTTATAGGCAGAGAAACGGTTCCACTGCTACATGGTAACTACAACCTTACCTGTGGTGACAGGATTAGAAGCAAAAACTCTGTAATTCATTCAATCTTCTGGAGATGTAAAAAGATTTACTTTGTGACAGAAATTTCCTCTCGGATGAAATGGAAGTGCTTTTTTCCTTTTATATTTAGTGTGGCCATGCTGGTAAAGAAGTTAGAGCCTAAACAAATTTCTTCATGGCTTACAAACCCCTCCAACCCAAAACAAAAAAAAAATTCTAAAAAGGACATGCAAGCAAGACGCTATCATATTGGTCTTGCTTGGCTTTTTCTCTAAATTTAGTGCATATGCTAATTCATGAATGTGAATTTGGTAAAGTACACTCTTTGATGGCGAAGATGACTAGCACCAAGAAAGAGATTCCATGTACGCCAAACAAAAGAGAGAATTATTCTTCACCGCCGAATGTTTTAATCAACCACATTCAAACTACATATTGGGTATTGAATAGGCATCATTGTAATAACTTTCAAGGCCTATGGATCAAGGTAGTCCAAACTTTAATAGAAATTTGTTCATGGTAAGAATCAAAGATTTGTATTAGTTGTGCTTGAGTTGATGATTGTTTTGCAAGTTATGTATTAAGCCTAATAGCTTTATTGTTCAAACCAAATTACCGGCCAAAATGGTGGACTTAATTCAAGTCTTAAGAATGTGGTGGCGTGCATGGCTAGGGAAAAAATGATAGAGAAAGAAAAGCACTTCAAATCATTGATTACATGAATGAATGAAAATAGTTTATCATGGCGAACTGAGCACAAAAATAAGAAAATCTAACTTAATTGTAATTCAAAGAGAGTATCTCTATAGGCAAACTAGTGTGCTTCATTAGAGAGTCTAAACTCAAATCATTATTTATTTTTGTCAAAACTGAGGAATGTAACACAAGATGAATCTCTCATCGAATCATGTTGTATTTCCTTGTACTATCACCTAGGTAATTTGTAAACATGTTTTTGTGATTGTTCATACAAATGATTTCTGCGTCCTTTTGATGCAATTGATTTGGAACTTGAATATAATGGAAGGGGACATGAAAGATTATGCAGGCTAGAAGGTAATTAAATCTGGTAGATCATCACATTTACCCTGTTGTTGATGGGGTGGTGACAGAAAAGGATTGGTTTTTGAGGCAGCTGTGAGAGAATTTTCCGGGCAAATCACCATCAAATCTTCATCAAATTTCTCCCAATTATCTGTGATTACTGTCCTTAATCTGCTTCTTGAATCTACCAATACTGTTTCATTTTGACTCACAACAATTGCCTTTTTAGCTGCTTCTGATTTCCCATCCATCTCTGATTTATCAGAGATTTCATTGATCATGATCTCAAGATCATGGATGTCTTCTTGAGGAATTTCCACACTTTGAGGACATCCTTTGGCATTAACAACACCGATTTCTCTGCAAAGTTGAAAATACATCGAAAGTTCATCGCCTTGAACAATTGCTTTCTTCAGAATCCTGACTGCCATTGCTGCTTCAGCCTTTCCTGCTGTATCAATCCTCTTCAGGACCTTGGCAATCATTTGGCAGATTCGGCTATAAACGTCGTATACTTCAATGATAATGCATTCCATGGCTTCCACAATAAGGAAAACACTTGCTGCTTTCGATAAAGGTTTGATCTGAATCAGCATATCAAGCAAGCCTTGCAACTTCTGTAAAATCACAAGATCTTGCATTAATGATCTCTGTTCCTGAACAACCCCTCCTCCTCGAAAAGCTCTCCTCTCTTGCATATTAATGAAAAGCAGCGTAGATTTCTGATCAAGAAATGCGTAATACGCCCGAATGAATGCATTATGAGCCCAAATTTCTCCAGGCTTATTATATCCATCCTTGAAATTTGAGAGATCAAAGGGCAATCTCCCAATCCTCTGAACGACAGGGACCTTAGACGAAAAAACGCCATGCATCAGCATCAATCCCTTCAAGGCCACAACCCAACACCGCGTTTTCTCCATCCGAAGAGATAAACACCACACAAGAGGCTTGATATGAGCATCTGACAAACGTATCCATTTGTAAACTCTCTCAGCATTCTTGTAATCGATCGAGAATTCGTCGTGGCTGGTGGCTTTGATGATTGCTGCTTCAATGTCAGGGTTCCGGAGTGCTGTTCTTCTTGATAAGCTTGAAATCCAGAGGCTATTCTGATCTTTCAACACTCCGGAAGCCCTTCTCCATAGCCTCATTTCCTGCTATCTAAGGTCCCTTTAGTTGGACTTGGTATTGCCCAAAATTTTCCTTCCTTATCTGATGCAGAAATGTGTCTGATGTTACATTATTCAACATATTTTTCGCTTCTCTTCTCTCTCTCTCCTGGACATGATTATTCATCATACTAGTCAAAGCAAACAACACAAGGCCTAATGGATCCCCATACACAACGCACCAAAGCCGGCAAAGGATTTACACTTGTTAGCCAATTTGGTTTAGGCTATCATCCTATATTCTTTCTCCTCGTTCCCACTTGTCTATATTTGCTTAGTGTAAAATAGAATGTAGTCTTGGACCTCTTGGTTCTTTTAATTGGCATTTTGCTTGAAATTTTGGCTTTTTTTGTGTATTTCTTTTTGTAAAGACAGAAAATTTGCCTCGAAAAGCCCATCTTGTGCAGATTATGACACTCTTGAGTCCTTTTTTTTTTTTTTTTTTTGCTGTAGACCTAGGTGAACTTGTCCCATGCAATTATAGAGAAAAACGAATTAATGTTTACAATGACAAATAAAATATAAGAGCAATACAACTTGCAGAATGATCCATTAGAGGGTGGCACGACTTGGTCTAAATGCTAGCATTTCTCTGATTATGTTAAAATAATATAAAATGTACATTTTTTTTTTATTTTTCTTTTGTGGCCATGTAGGGGTGTCAATGGGTTGGGTTTGGACCCGGACTCGACCCGGATCTGATAAATTTTTTGGGGTTTGAGTTGAAAAATAATTCCAATACCCGAACTCGGATCCGGACCCATTTACTCTAACAAAAAAATGGGTCGGATATGGAATATAGGATTCCGACGTGGACTTGAACAATATATTAATAATTATAAAATATAAATATTTCTAAATACATTTTTTTTACCAAATTAACAATTTAGTAATGACTTTGTAGATTGATTTGTGGTTAGTTTTGAATTGAATATTGCGAGTTATTTGTGATTTAGTTTTGTAATTTGATTTGTTAAAGTTTGAATATTGGATTTGTGATTGGTTTTAGATTTAATTCTGAAATATTTAAATTTGGATATTTTCTTTTTGGGTAGACTCGGATCCGACTCGAGATCCGTCGGACCCAATTTCGGAACTCTAAGGTCAAGACCCATTAGATATACAAGTCTGGTTCGGATCTACTGCATAAAAATGGGTCCGAGTCCGACATTTTTCAATTTCGGCCTGAACCCGACTTGTTGACGCCCCTATGGCCATGGAGAAATATAAATTCATTTTTTGTGGGCGATAAAATATAATAAAGAAGAGGGATTTTGCAAGGTTACAGTGCGCAAATTGTATCAGAAGTCATTAAGTTAAATTTTAATAATTTTTTAGGTGTGGGGGGTGTTGAATTGAAAAGCTTGTTAAAGTTACATATTGAAAAATTAAATGAATTGCAAAATCATATAATACAAAATTAAAGTTAAACTAACGTATCAATTATGATTCACCTATACACTGTAATTAACAATTTCTAGATTAAAAAACATGACTAATATATTATATCTAAAGATTAAAGTTTACACATCTTTTTGATTGAAAGTGATTTAAAGTTTACATACCTAAAGCTACCAGGGATGCTTCTTGTTTTTTCCCTTTTACACAAAATTATAGGAGGTTAAGTGAATATTATTCAATAGCAGGGGAATTATGCAATAAAACGTTAAACTGCAGGGTTCAATAGTAATTTACTCTAAGTAATGCATTATTAAACCGATAGCTTGGGCCAAGTTCAGATATGGATATGGTTCTAGACTTGGACTCAGAACACCCAAACATCTATTGAAATCCAAAAAGCTTTTTTAACTGGAAGGATCCAACTATTATAATAGATCCAGCCCACTCATTCAAGAAGTAGAGGTGGCCTAAACCCGCAAAGTTTATTAATATCTCGATCCAACCAGCATCTTCTCCTCTCTGCACTTTCCCCTTTCTGGCTCTCTAACGCTGTTTCAGAACAAGCCCTGTGTTCCCAGGTATTTTTCTCCTTTGAAGCCATTTTTGCAATTAGTTTGTGTAGTTTTGTAATTTTTCTAACTGGGATTTTGGGGAATTCTAATTTTAGTCACTTGTTTGTTTTTCTTGGCGAACTTTTATGATGGTTTTGTTGTTCAACTAGTTCAGTAATTGGAATGTTTCGTCGAGGCCATTTTTGCAATATTAGTTTATTTAACTTTGAGATTTTGTAATTGGGATTTTAGGGCATTGTAACGTTTTGTCGCTTAGTTTATTTTTGATGACTGTTGTTGATCTAGTTAAGAAATAAGTGTGTTAGGAGTAAAAATTTGCCTGAAATTACTGTTAAACGAGCCTATTGAGTCGAAGCTTTCAGTTTTTCTTCTCTTTTTTTTTGAATGAGGTTAATTTTGGGTTCTAGTTTGCATGGATTTTTGCTGGAGCCAAACTCTGACAAGCTTTCTATTGAGCTCGGGTTCAAATAGTTCAACTTATTTGTATGTGGAAAGATTTTTGGTTCTATGCTTATGTATTTGTGTTCGAGTTCAGCTTAAAATGTTAATGAATCCAAAATCTTGTGATAATATGAAATGCAGAGCAAAGCGGTGCAATTTGTCTATCCGTTTGGGGTCCAATTTGAAGATTTGAAAGATTTGGGAGGATTTAAAATTAGTTTAGCACTTTCTTGATACGAGATTAGATAAATTGTTAAGCATTAGAGAAAAAATAAGATGCAAAAGTTCAACTTTTGTATGGATTAGGTAACACATGTGGTCAGTTGAGGTTGATTTGAATGGGTGAATTAAAATGAAGGAGGATATAGATAAGAAGTATGGGAAGTCAGAGCGACAATAAGAATTAGATAGTAATTCTAGTTGAAGAGAGTTGCATTTCTGATGCAATTCTGCTTATTTTTCAGCTATTAAAATTTACAAAGTCAATTCATACGGGGGCTACATGCATGAGTAAAAGCTGAGAAGCTTCTCAATCATGCATGTTACTTGTAATGTGACTAGAAATTTGAAGTTGGTATGTGGAAATTTTGACTTTTGACTAGTTGAAAGCTGTTTTAATGCAGTTGAATACTGTTTTCTTACAATTTTTGGATCTTTAGAGTTAATTGAATCGGTCTGATCTGGATGTGAGTTCTTTTGTCAACTCTGTCTTAGGGTGAATTGGTGTTTTCACCTTAGTGCAGTATGGCGTTTTCTTCTGGTTAAGGTTGTTATACCTGTCTCACACATGATACTATGTAAAATTTTTACTTATTTTGTATGCCTGGTTTCTGCTCCTGTCTCTGTTGCCAATTATTGGATACACACCAGAGAAACTCCTTATGAGATATAATTGAACAAAAAGATACACAGTGATTTTAATGAGTGAATGCAGAAGATTGATTCAAGAGTAAATTGAGGGCTTCGTCTTTTGTTTTCTTGGGTTTTATGATGGAGAAATTGAAAACAGCTTCCAAGGGAAACTCTTGCTTAAGTTAAGGTTATAGTTTTATTCATTCTGTTTTTTGTGTCAATCTGTATAGTTATTCTGATACTTGAATTGTTTTCTTCTAGACCTTTTAGAATTAAACTAGATAGTTGGTTTCGTTTATGATGCATGGGTGCTATCTTCTCATCCATTCTTTTTGTACAAAAAAAAGAAGATAGGGAACTAAATTTTGTTTATAAATGCTTGCATTTTGTTGTAGGTTTCTGCTCTAATCAACAGTTAAAATGCCAAAGGTGAAGACTAATCGGGTTCGATACCCTGAAGGTTGGGAGTTGATTGAACCCACTCTTAATGAGTTACAAGCTAAGATGAGAGAAGGTTTTGATTACTTAATTATCTTATCAAGCTCTATGGTTCTTCTTCCCTTTTTCTGGTTAAATTCTATAAGTTGCTAAGTAATTCTTGGCTAACTTAGTCTCATTTCCTGTTTTCTTTATTAAACAGCTGAAAACGATCCAAATGATAATAAAAGAAAATGTGAGGCATTATGGCCCGTTTTTAAGATAGCCCATCAGAAGAGTCGCTACATCTTTGACCTTTATTACAGGAGGAAGGAAATCTCCAAGGAATTGTACGAGTTTTGCTTGGATCAGGGCTATGCTGACAGGAACTTAATTGCAAAGTGGAAAAAGGTTTGTCAGTTAATGTTGGCAATTATATATTCTGGGTATTATCTTCCTTTCTGTTGGGATGGGCTCCAACTGATCATTTTGGCACTGAGTCTCAAAATTGTTTCTCCATTTTTGGTGTGAGAATCAGCTAAATATTGCTGTGGCTTGTTTTCCTATGTTGTTTACTTTCTAAGGCTTATTTTTGGCTTGTTTTTCCTTTTTTCTCCATTTTATAGGTAATTGCCAGTCATGGCTGTATGGCGAGTCATGAGTTTACGGACAATTTGAACTGTAGATTTGAAATGTAGACCATTTGTTCACTAATGGTGCCAGATGGGGTGTAGTGTAGACTTGACTCCATATATGGCCAAAGTTTTAATGAAAAAGTAAAATATCATGGGAACTTGGAATGATGGTGGAGAATGGAACTGATTATAGATAGGAAAAAGTTTTTAACCTGTTCAAAACTTTCAAGATGCTTTCTGAAACTCCATTTTTTTTTTTTTTTTGCAATCTCTAGGCATGTTAGTCTGCTAGTTTGTACAATTTCCTACTAGTTTGAATAACAGCCTCCTTTGTCTTTTTGTGGTTGGGCATGGGGAAAGCAATTGCGTGTGTTCTCATTGTTTTGTGCATTCATTTCTAATGTTTAATTTAATCATCGCAGCCTGGATATGAACGTCTCTGCTGTCTACGCTGCATGCAACCTCGTGATCATAATTTCCAGACGACATGCGTTTGCAGAGTACCTAAGCATCTAAGGGAGGAGAAGGTTATAGAGTGTGTACATTGTGGCTGCAGGGGTTGTGCCAGCGGGGATTGAGCAGAGCAGATAGTTTGACTTGATCTTGGCTGATATGTCATGAAAGGTGTGATCAGCTCTCTTCAACTGCCCATTAAGAATAGATGCTGTAATTGTATTTGCCTTTTTGGCAATCCCTGTACATCAAGGAGGTTAGAGACTCTAAAATGCCGAGTTATGGCAGCTCTGTTTTGGTATTTGATTAGCTGTTTGTCAATGGCAAACACTTGAATTTATTAATCATGCACTTGCTCATTGTTCAAACATTTGAGTCTTATGGGGTTACATTTACTTGTTGCCCAGTGAAATATGTGCCATTCTACCTGATAATTTATCCGGTTAGTGGAGGCAATGCTATAGATGGTGGCTTTCGATTACAAGGACCAGCTATTCTGTGGTATTTATCCCATTTTTACCTGAAAAGGTTCGTTCAGCAGGGATGTACTGAACCTTAAAATTATGTCTGCTGGTGATTCTGATCTAGGCCCCGACAAGTCAACTGTTTATCTGAAGAAGCAAACATCACTCGGGAAGCCAAGAAAGCTTCCTACTGAGTCTTTCAAAGTAGGACTTAATTGGTGATCGAGTACTATAGACAACTATTATCCGCAAGGTACAACAGAAGATTGGTATGGTTAAATCAGTCTAATAAATAAATTGACAGGCATATTGTGAGATGTCATATTGTATTCTCCAAGTTTAAGAACAACAATACCTACATTAGATGTTGGTATTTTGTACAAGGTCGGAGGCACATTCTGTTATTATTTGCATTTGTATGTGATGTTAAATTAATGAGATTGGAAACTTTCATGCTCTTGTCAGATTTTGAAAAATTTTGTCTGAGAGGCTCCTAGGAGTTGTGGTAGAACTTGCAAGCTCTGATCGCTGCCAATTGGAAGGAAATTTTGTACCCCTTGCTTCGGTTTCCTAGTTTGACTGACTCGCCTCTGCTGTAAATCAGATTCCTAAACAGAATCTGTTTGGATCCTTGTCGTATAGTTTTGTTAAAATTTGCTATCGAATCAAAATCAACATAGAGTGGATAAGAGGGATATAGAGGTCTGCTAAATTGGGTCAATAATGGAAAAGCAGAAAAAGATGGATTTTGATCTCATAAGCAAAATGTATAGTCAAGGTTGTCACTGAAAGAGGCTGCAAGGACAAACGTTGTATCCCACAGGTGGGACAATTTATGGAAATCATATGGTGGTTGTTCGGACTTTGATAATGATATGGAGACTAAAGCGATTCTACATCAGGGCCAAAAAATGTTTGATATCGAACAGAGGAAGCAAATAGACAGGGTGAATCAAGTGGTGGTTTCACATTAAGGGACAACCATTGAATAATTTAGGGTGTCTAATTGTCTTCTGAATTGGGAAGAGATCCCGCGAGTATTCTCGATAAATGGAAGGAGTTTGCAGCAGGAATGGCGACGGCGCGGGGCTGGGGCGGGAGTCCCACTGCCCACTAGGGCCCTCCATCCCTGTCCTGCCCCCTGCTCCCGTTCCTTCGTCCCATCCTGCTCCTCTTGGGAGGACACTTGCCTCGTCCATTGTTATTGTGTTTTTTTTTTGGTAAAAAAAAGTGTTATTATGTTAGATGTAATTAGGAATTTGGTATAAATGTATTAGTAAATTTAGCATAACTAATTAATAATTTTTATTAATATACATGTATAATTATTAATATAATTGATAATATTAATCATATTATATATATATTAATATACATTATATAATATTTATAATTAATAATATCATTATTATAAGTTTATAATTAATTAAATTAAATATTATATATAATTATATATATATTTAATTTTTCTTAACGGGTGGCGGGATGGGGATGGGCTATACTTCCCCGCCCCTACCCCATCAATCCCCATGGACACTCACCCTAATTGCTATCCCTAGTTTGCAGCAATTAGGAAGGTTCAGAAGCTTGAGTTGGATTTATCATCTATGTTTGCAGCAGTCTTTGCGAATTATGCCATAGTCCTTGCAAATGATTCCACTCTAGGTATGATGCCAAGGGGTAATAATAGTTTCTTTGGAACCATGGCTAACTACATCACGCCTTCACCTGTTCCACTTAGCCGGAAAATTCATTCGGGACACAAGCCATCAAATGAAATTAAGATTTAAGACTGTAGATCCACATCAGACAATCTGACTTCTGTGATCCATATGAAGTTAGCAAAAGATGAGCTACCCAAAATATTCAGAGGGAATATTTACACAGAATGAAGCAATGCCATCCTGAAGTGAAATAAACTCTACTTAATCTGGTTGAGCTAAGAAGATATTACTAAAGGGTGAATAGGTCACACTTAGGCGGAGCTAAGAAAAACTCCGTGTTGATTGAAGGAAAATCACATATGAAATATGCTAACATACCAATAAGATGACATAGTTTTCGACAGTGGCCTTATAGACTATTATTCCTGTGTTATGAAATACAACAAAAAGCCCTCGTACACACATAGTTGTGCTCAGAGCACACATAGTTGTTCTAATCATCCTTAATCCACCTGACTAAGTTGTTGAAATTCTTGCCAGAACATCCATCTTCTTTAAGACTATTCATAACCTTTGCTTTTAAATCCAAGGCCCTCTCCCTGTAGCCTTTAACAGTGACTAGCGGCTCAATTTTGTTCTTAAGTTCTCCTTGTGCAATGATTCCATTTTCATCTTTTTCCAATCCTAATCCAACCTTCCAAATATCACATATGTAGCTTCTGTTAGCGAACTGGTCTCCAAAGCAAGGCCAGCAGACAAAAGGGACACCATTGCTTATGCCTTCCATTGTAGAATTCCAGCCACAGTGGCTGAGGAAGCAGGCAACTGAAGGATGGCTCAGGACCTGTTGTTGAGGTGCCCAACTGGCTAATCTTCCTCGTCCTTGTATTCGATCTCTGAAACCTTTTGGATATGCACTATCTGTTTCTGCAGTTAAATTACGCCTCACAACCCAAAGGAATGGCATATTGGTGAGTTCAAGTCCCAGAGCCAGTTCTTGGAACTGTGTGTGGTCAAAAACTGTTAAGCTCCCAAATGCAACATAAATGACTGATTGGACTGGTTGTTTATCAAGCCACGCCAAGCAATCCGAGTCTTCGGACCAGTAGGAACCAACTGATTTTCCAAGCCGGTTACTGGCTAGAAGAGGGCCAATAGGCAACATTTCTGGGAATGAGGTGAAGACTGATGCCTCTAACTCATTACTTGAGTTGCCGATAATCCTATCAGCCAATTTAAATGTTCTGTTATTTATTGCCATAGCATCAAAAACAATACCCCGTGTGGTCGCATCACCGACACTTGCCCAAGCAAAGTGTTCAGAGTCCATGGCTAATGTGGCGGGTGATAACTGAACCATCTGCTTCTTCATGATAGTTCCTGCCACAAAATTTGCCTTAACAAATGTCAAATTTGATAATCATTGATCTGGAAAAGCATTTTTTTTTCCTTTGCTGCAAAAATTTCCTTGCATTGATGAAAACTAATTCACTTGATATGTTTTTCAACTTTCAACTTATTTTGAAGCACCCAAAATTGCACCACCCTGTTTCCTATGAGTTTGTTACTTTGCTTGCATTTTGATTTTTACCTTCATAGGTTCCAATTCTAATAAACTTTTATCGTTTTACCATTTTATGACTACAAAGAAGTAAGTGCTTATACGAAAATGATGAAACTATAAAAGTATTATGCTGACATGAATCTTACCAGAGCTGTCTATGATTCCATCATCAATGAGCTTTGGAATATTGAGTTTCAGAGCATATAGAGCTGCTGCTGCAGGCGAGAAGGATACTGCCCTGACTCCCATTTTCTTCGCAACCTCCAGTGCCAAACCCAAGAACTCATCAACAATAATGCACGTGACTTTGTCACTTTCAGATTGATTTATCTTCTCAATTAGAGCCTCCAGCTTTACAGGGATAACACGAAAAATCGCCTTCATTGACTTCGCCGCATCATTTCTGTCTTCCCACGATTCCAGGCCATCTGGGATGGATACCAGATGCATCATATCAGGTACATTTTCTTCACCAGATAATGATTCAATGACTCGTTTGTGATCAAATTCTGTGTACACAAATGTAACTTTGATACCATGCTTCACCAGGCATAAGGCCAGTTCCATTAGGGGAAGTACATGACCTTGTGCTGGATAAGGTACGGCTAGAACATGTGGACTGCCCATATTGTTTCTTCAACACTATACTACCATTAATCTTCAAATATGTGTCCCTATTTATATGCCACAATTCATCTGTTTTCTTATTAAGGAGAGCACCCATGGCACATCAAATGGCTAATCACTAATATGTGGTCAAGTTTTCCAGAGCCTGAAAGAGGCAACGTTTTTCTCGAGTGCACCTTTCTTTGTCTTGATTTTGGTATCTGTCAACGTTTTCCACAATCTTGGAATTGTGGCTAACCAATACTTTTAGATTGAAATGAAAACTGAAGATGGATTGCAAGGGACAGATTGGGATTGGAGACTGTTTTATTATTTTATCTCCATAATTGAAAAGTATGTTTTAGTTTTCTAACTTCGTTATCATGATTGATATTTTGAGTTAAAGTTTGTGTCTCGAGATAATCTAAAATCGAATTCCGTTGAAACTCTAAAAAATCTCATGATATTTTTAAAAAGAGAATAAATTTTCTTTCTTTGGAATGTTTGAATGCATATACCTTTAATTTGAAGGGGCAAGCTTCATACAAATTTGAATGTTTTAACTAATGGAAAATCTTTAAAAAAGGTTTATGTGATTGAAACTTTTGATAGGAAAGAAGTCTCAGTGTATTATGGGGACAGCCAATTTTGTAGGACTCGACAGCCAATTTTCGCTTAATTAATTATGAGGTAGGAAAATCAGTCTGCTCTTTTCAAGGACTGTCCTTTTCCAAATTTTTTTTTTAAACATGTCCTTTTCCAAAATTGGATGCAATTAGAACCACGTAGGCCGCGTCCCTTATTCACTATGTCCAAAATATAGCCCCTGTCCCCTTTTTTTTTTCAGAAATAATAGGAATTTTTATTGTGGAATCAAAACTGTCCCTTATTCACAATTATTGCACCAATCATCTTTACTAACAAGCACAATTATTGCACCAAATCGGATGAAAGTTCAACCAAACGTCCCTATCCCTTATTCTTTTTTTTTTTCAATAAACGTCCCTGTCCCGTATTCACATGTCCAAAGTTCAACCAAATCGGAAAACATTCGTGTTAGGTTTGGAGTAATATATGAGGAGATTATTTGGTTTTGGCTACGGTGGAAAGCGAACATATGAGAAGGCCAATTAGTGCTTGGTGGGGCCGGGTAGAGGGAGGAAGCAAGCAATTCACATGGCTTAAAAAAAAAACTATCGATATCATAGGGGAGCCCTTTTGCAAATTTAGTCATCATAAAATGGTCCAATAATTAGAGATATTTTTGGAAACTCTCTAGATATATGGGCCCCAACAAAAATGAAAATAAAAAAGTGAATGGTACCAAAGAAACATGAAAGAAAAAGAGGACTGAGTATTGTCGCGACCCATTTTTTTTTTAAAGAAATAAAATTACGGGTTTATAAAATGGATTTTTGATTTGTTTTTGAGTGAAAATGAGTTTTTTATTTTTGGAGAATAAATAAAGAAAAAGGGCCTAAAATGGGACTTAAAGTGCGACGATTTTGGCCCAAAATAATAGTTTAAAAAGGATTTTTAATGAAAAATAGGAGTCGCTACTTGGTATTGAGTTAAAGTGTACCAAATCACCTAAAATGAATTTTAAATAAAAAGTAGAGAAAA